CGGAATAGTAATACTTCATTTAACACGGAAGTGGAAGATGAAGCAGAGACGAATAAAAATATCCAATATAGATATGGTAATCTAAACACTCGTAAAACTGTCAAAAGAAGAGTGATTTTATCATCTCTAAATAGAAGTTCCGAAATTCTCGGAAAATGGAAATGAGAAGTTCGAATTCTAAGTAAATTGTGTTTTTTTCCCCTACACGCTATAGTAGGAGTGATACGTATAGAAAAGGCATCAAAGTTGTACAGGTAAATTTTTAGATTATCAAAAGATATCCAAATACTTTCGCGAGAGCACTGCATCATCGTGAGATACATTTGGGGGGGGGAGAGTAAATATGGTAAAATGTACCAGATATTGAAATTATTCACTACAAAAAAGATTGTTTCAATTCTGTTTTCTACAGTTTCTAGGAATTAAAAGCTGTTTTTACAGCAAGGTTCATTATCACAGCTTGACACTGCAATTTTAAAATTAGCCACTCTAATAAGTAATTTGCTAAAGTGGTAAGCATGTCTTTTGTTTTATGTTTTATCAATTTTTTATTCTGAATATTTTGTGTTTTTAACATTTATTGATGTCCTCACTTCCATTATTTAATAAAATTTCATGACGTTTATAACTTTTAGTAGTTATCTATCTTCATTCTTTAAAAATTCACCATGAAACTCTTTATTTATTTTTCGTAACACAATAACCAGTTATTAAGATGTAGGAAAGTTTCATTTGGTGACCTTATTACCTTTATTCAACATCCTGAATGTGCTTTATATACTCAGGAGTAATGTTTCTGGTTCAACAAATGACATCAAAGCATACAGTTAGAAATAATGCAGACTTATCGAAAACACTGGTTATGGACTATTTTGGGGGCAAATGAGTGAGGATTCAACTTAGTAATCTAGGTACAATCCTAGTATACGATACTGCCTTGGCGCGATTTTGAAAATTGTCACCAACATCAAAATGACTCCTTTACTGCTCATCATAAATACCGCGTTTACTGCTCATTATTATGTCACAAAAAGTCGCCAAATCCCACGTATACTGTATACTAGGATTAAACCGTAATCTAAAATATAATGACGATTTCAATTAAATTTCTCTGCTGGAAGGAAAGAAATAAATCACATTAATTACCGCCGCACACCCGTCGAACGCTGCTACTGTTCATATTTTACTAGCGCTAAATACTTACGATTATGAGAAGAAACATCCATACAAATGACGAAGAAAGAAACAACATATAGTATGCATTCATAAAATGTATGTTTGGATTGCTTCTAAATGCAGTCAAAGGCTAGTCAGAATTTTTCGACCCTATAAAGTTCCAATAAATTACCTTTAGTGGAAAAAAATGTCTAATTGTTTCATTCCCATTTTTTTATTTTTATGTTTTTAAAGATTACTTTCGGTAATCAGGATATTAGTTTAAGAAATTATTATTAAAATAATTAATTTTCGAAATATAAATGGCTTTTGGTTTTTAACTTTTTGAAAGAAGCTCTTATGTAAATTCTTTGCCTTTACTATCCTCAACTACCCCTATATTTAGATCAATAAAACATCTACCTGGACTTTACTAATGTTGGCAAGTTTTCTGTAGTTCATAGATAATAAGGAAACCGAATTTTAACATATAGTTTCACTGCTATTCTTGAACATGGAATTCTATTTAAAACTTAAATGACAGATAAAATCAGATAATAAATTCCTAGTATTAACACATTCGGATTTGAGTCAAAGAGATTTGATAAACTAGACTAGATAAAAAGCTCTCATCAAAAGCCGATGTTGTAACTAGTGGATAAAATAAAATTTTCATTTCAGCCGTAGTACAACTCCACCCTTCACTAAGTACCTATAAACTAGATAACAAGAGCTGGTAGCTGAACGGTCATAAGAATCATGTCACACAGCTTGTCACCTACTTATTACCTGTTATATCCAGAAGCCTGCTGAGTCCTCTGAAATGCTAAATAAATATGCATATTTCTGTAGTAAGGCTGAATTGGAAATATGGAGCAACTAATAGCCGAAGTGAAACAGAACTGTTTAAGTAAACTTAAGAAGTTTACCATTTTCCTGTCCATAAGTTATGCATGAATACAAATACAAGATAAATAAAAATTACTTTCAAGAATTTTTAATTGTTTTATTTGATTACTTTTAACAAATTAACTTATTTATTTCAGAATGGATACTGCACATGAAAATAAAGTGGTGAGTCAGAATTATCGAGTCAATTTATTTTTCTTACTTAAAAACAACAACAACAAAAAAAAAAAAAAAAAAAAAATAAAATAAATTATTAAGTTATTTTCCGCCATGCTTCACGGCTGGATGCTCTTTGCAGTTCCGATGGTACGAAGCTAATTCTGAAATCTGTAAGTAACAAGTAAGAAAAAAGCAATATAATTATTGGGAAGCGAAATGAATTCTCACGCAAACCCGTCTCCAAGGGGCTGTGGACGCGACTTTTGAGCACTCTCGTGTAAAATCTTAATCTGACTTTCAAAAGATGTGGAAACGTTCTTTACTTATTACAGGGAAAGAAGATTTAAAAGTGCTTTAGTTGAGGTAAGAGATTTGACCGAAACGTTAGCTATTGAACCTGTACCTTTAGAATTCGAAGAAAGAAAAGAATGTTCGATTGTAAACATTCCAATAACTCTTCAGTAGATCTAGAATAGCCGTTTCAAATATATGTTTTCATTCCACCCGTAGATCAAGCAGTTTATTCCCTGATTTGAGCTGCTCAACATATGCTAGTTCTTGTTTTATGATCAACTAACTACACAATTTACTGAATCTCATTTCCAGAGTAGCAAAAACGCCAAAAGAAGTTTTTTCCTACATCCCTTAAATACTCTTTGCAAGATGGATTAGGCGTATGGGTTGCCGTATGAATTTTTTGAACGGCTTAGATATCAGTAGCTGCAGCTGAAATAAGTTTGTCTATACTGAAATTGATTCAGATATATTCGAGGTCACGTTTATGTCAAGAAGAGTTGAATTTCCTGTATTAACGCATTAACATAGTCACTTTGGCGCAATATGGCGATTTTTTACAGATGAAAATGTAAAAGTTACTTATAGGGTGTAAGTTGGTGGTTTTCGAGGATTTTTTTAAGAAAGATTTATTTTTTTAGACTATCGATATTTATTATAAGTCGGTAAACTTTATCAACTCTTGAAAAGAAAACCTTAGCAATTTGAGTTATTAAATAAGGATTGTGTGATAAATTAAGAAACAAAACACATCCTTCTTCAAAACTTATTGCAATTTTTTTTCCGCTATTCTTCTCCCGAAGTACGCAGCGATCTGTTTTCGCCTAAAAAACCTCAGAGTATTGCGAAGACTCGGCTATCGTACAACCCTCTGCAACAGCGGCTCCATTTGAAAATTTTCAGCAAAATTTCGAATTCCTGCAGAAATTTTACCACAGTGTTTTCCATTGCTGGCAAATTCCCCAAGCTTATACTTTAAAACTAAGTTTAAGGCAAAATAAATCATGATTTGTTTATAAAAGGCGTCGGAACTTTGAATACAACAGAAAATGACGACGTTGCTTGACTTGAGAGCTGTTATGAGCCATGGTTGTCGGAAGAATGGTCACGGGTATGGTTTTCAGAGTTTCACATATTTTGAAAATTTGGCAACTTCTATTAAGGTGGTTGCGTTAATATGTAAGTACCGAACTTCCTTGCATTTCTGTCTGTAAAACAATATATTGCTCAGGAATCAGCGACATGTACGCTGAGAGGAAAGGCATTTAGATTTATAATATGCTGTATTTGTAAGAGATCGCGAACTTTAAAATAACTGGCATTTAGATTTATAATATGCTGTATTTGTAAGAGATCGCGAACTTTAAAATAACTGGCATTTAGATTTATAATATGCTGTATTTGTAAGAGATCGCGAACTTTAAAATAACTGTAATTTTGATTTATTAAATAAAAGCATATTATGGTTTGAAATATTAATACAGTTCATTTATATAAAATGTCAAATATACTGATCGCCTAGGGTGACAAAAATGCTGGAAGTCGGGGTTGTTCACCCGTTTTTACTTTTCATTATTCATTAGTGATTTAACTTATCAATTTTTTTCTCTCTTTAAAGAAGTGATGAGGATGATGATAATGATAAATAATGAATTCTCCTGCTCAAGTTTAAACATTCTACATTTTATGATAATCTCTGTACAGCATATTTGTTGTGACAACCGATAAAATTAAGTTTTCACTTGGTGCTAAACTTAGAAAAAATAATACGGATTAAAAAGCACTAAAGATAATATACTCAGCTTTTTTAATTGTTGAAAGAGAAGTTTCACTTTTCAATAGGATAAGATTTCAGATAAGCGTTCAGTTATAATAAGAAAGTATATTTTTTTACACTACAGTTAACCCCCTCCTTATTTAAAGAGATAAAAATAATAAGTTCCCTGCCTAGTTTAAACTTTCTATTTTTTATGATAATGCCATCCAGAGTAGTTGACAGTTTGCTCGTTATGTTCAACTAGCGCAAAACTTCGCAAGAAAGGAAATGTTAAATAGAAGATTTGGCCTGTAAATAAATACACAGCTTTAAATTGTTAAAAAGACAATTCCATTTTTCACCACAAGTAAAATCATTTGAAATAAAAAATGAAATATTTTTCACGTTTTAATTTACTGTAAATAAATTTTATAATGTCGAGCGGCAAGCTGAACATTTAAATCCTGAATTTTTATTTTCTTTCCCATCTTGTTTGCCTAATTCATCACCTACCTTAAAAGCGGGAGATTAATTCATAATCAAAAGCACTCAACAGAGCAGGCAACGACTCGAATTCAATTACCGTCGAATTACAGCCTATTTAGGCGACGGCCCGGAGCAGCGAATTCAAACTTTTGTTGCGAAGTTCGTCATAGCACGACGCGCAATCACCCCTGTCAGACACAATGGACTGCGCCGTTGGATGGCGTGCTTGGCGGAACTCGGAATTCGCGCACACGAATCCCAACCCGATTCAGTTCGACGTTGTTTCTCAAATTGTTGAGTACCCGTACGTGTTGCGCGAGTTCTTTGCAACTGTTGTAAATGTGGGGAGCGAAAAATTGTACTGTGTAAAGTACTAGGAAAGTTTACATAGGCATTTGCCCTCACTTTCTACACACACCTGTTGAAAAAAAAAATATTAAAAACATTTTTCGCTTGTTTTGCTCCGTTCGGGACAGTTCTTGCTGACTATTTCGGTTGTTTTGTAGTGTGCGAGCGGCACGGACAGCGGTGTTTATAGTGTTGGTACTGTGGAGGAGTTAGTTGTTGGCCTTGACTTATTATGGTAATTCATTACTTCACCCGTAAGGCAGGTAAGAATATTTTCCTTAGTATAGATAGATAGATAGCTTATAAGTTTTTAAACTTTGCGCAAACAATTTTGGTATTTTGTTAATCGGAAGGTAAGTTCTAATACTAGCAACATTCGGGGCATTTAGGGTCTTTTTTCATCATAATTTGTCTTGATCTTAAAGAAATACATTTTAAAGTTTCAGTAAATGAAATTTAATAACTTTTGGAGAACCTCGTTGATTCAGTTCGTGTATTGTATATCATTATGCTAGTGTTTATCCACTGCCTTTATGTTTGATTTTGATAATATTTCTGAGGAAAGATATTGTTTATTAAAAGTTTAAGCTTAAAGTTTATTAAAAGTTAAGTTTATTAAAGTCATTAGCTTCATAAGAAAACTTTTCATATAATAAAATTCTCAAATGGTTGTTTCACAGAATCTTGCGTAGTCTTTAGATTTTAAGGCGAAAATTTATTCTCGCGCGTGTTCTTGTGGAAATATTTTAAATGTAGTTGTACAGTTAATCGTAGACAGTCAGTTAGTTAATCTAATTTTATTACTACTTGGATTTCGGATTATTTTGATGATTTGATGTAAAAGCTAGAGTTAATGATTATGCTAATTTGCTTGAAATTAAATTGTAGATCTGGTTTAATAGATTCGGTAAATAAAGTTTGTAAACGCATTTCCGTGATTATTTTCCATGTATGATTATTTTTTTGGGGGGAATGGAGAACTTTATAAAAGATTTTTTTTCTTTTTTTTTAAGTTTTAATTTTAAAGTATGCAATATTTGCTGTTCTGTGTGATTGTCTTCTTTTCTTCACCTCAGCCGTTAAATGACAAATTTGTGAATTGAATAAAATTTTATTAATTTCAGAACTACTGCTTGTCTTGCAAGTTAGGTTGAGCCAAAAAAAATTAACAATACATTTCGATTGCAGTTCCAACAACTATAGCTAGCGTATTTTTCTGGTCGACACTTCATGCGTGTGACCCGATTGCATTCAATTTTTAAATTCCATTTTCTAAATGTGAACTAGGTATATGAAACGAGCCTGAAGTTTTCACAACGAGAATTTCATTAGTCTTTACTCCATTTTTAAGTAGGTCTCTATATGAAGATTTTATAAAATGTTGCATTCAGAATTTTTTTATAACTGATCACCCTTGTAAAAGAAATATATCCATCCATCATGTTTCTTAACGCTGCAATATTGGAGTTTGCCATCATAACGAAGAATATTTAATGATGTAAGACAAGGCCGGAGAAGATCTTGCAGTCAAATATTGAGTCTTTTGACTTTCTTCCAATATGCCTTTCGTTGTACATCGAAACTTAATGTTTCTAGACTAAATGTTTCGAAACTTACTGTACATATACAAAAGCTTTTCTGTTAATAAATACGTGTTGCTTTCTCCTCTCATGGCTTCCCAGTTATCTCACAAAATTAGTGTCCGAAGTTGATCAGTTCTTCGAAGTTCTCTTCACCCGACAAGTTGCGGGCGTACCATTGGCGAATGGCTGAATACGACTAGTTCGTACCGGCAAATTTCCGGGTGGCTAAACGGGCTCGTCGCTTTGTTTTCGTGGGGTGTTTTATATAGAAGCCAAATGAGAGCTAACGTCCTTTAAAAATTCTTCCATCAGGCTTGTTTGACTAGCCCTTGCACACTTAACTTAGCCAATCATTGTAAATAAGGCAGTTTCCCAGAGTCGTAGCTAGGGTTTTCAGCGCCCAGGGACAACTGAAGATTTCGCGCCCCCTACTGCTTGCCAAGGATGGAAAACATTTAATTCTAAAATGTCCTAACATCAGTTTGGCGCCCCTTGGATTCTGCGCCCGGGGACAGATGCCCCCCCTTGCCCCCCTCTAGCTACGCCCCTGCAGTTTCCTTTGAAGATCTTTATAAAGGCTCTGCTTAGGTGCATAAATCAGGCCTCGAGTACTTTACCGTAATTAATTAAACTTTGCCTGGCGGCAGCAGTAGTTTGGAGATAATTGAAGTATGAATATGGATAATTTTTTAATTAGAAGAGCCGTTTTTCCTTTAATTACGAGGTACATCAGAATCTGAAATCAAAAGGAACTTGGAAACCTTTACTGAGTCTTTAAGATATCTCCTTTTAGTTTATTCATATACGAAAACTCTGCATTTTAACAAGATCTCTAGTCGTACATAGTTAAGGCTGCCATGGACGTACCTGTATTTTCCTGGGTGGTTTGTGCTTTTCTGAAAATTTCTGGCCATGACTCCTGCTGAGAGTTTAATGCAAATGCGAGCCAGTTTCCCTTAAAAATTTCCCACGAAAGCATCCCTTCTTCCTTAAGCAGGTTAATCTTTGCGTATTTTGTCACTATCAAACAAACATGACGCAGGAGAGTGTTAAGTTTGTCCTATTAAATGCGGTAATACTGGGTCCGATTTTTCGTCAAAAATAAACTACTAGACAGACTATCACACTTACTCCGGTCGCTCCGGTGCAGCTTTTGGTGTATTCGGTTAAGAAATGAATCCTCGGATAAGCGACTCGGACGAGTGTACCTTTACGCGAGGTATAAAGAAAAATGACATTCATCTGACCGAGTGAACTTCTTTTAGACATCAATGGTCCGATATCAATGATTGCATGACTTCAGAATTTTTTTAAGTGTGTGAACTGTGTCTGCACCCATTGACCACATGTAAAATTAAGAAGTTGTCTCAGGCACATCCGGCTAGCGCTGCGGACTTTATGAAACCCTCCATGGTCAGTTTACATTTGACGGTCATGTTCGAGGTATGGCAGATATCACATTTTCGATGGATGCGAACTCTGCTTAGAAACATCCTGCCAGCGTCATTGTTTCGGGATACCTTCGCTAAGGCTTTTCCTTAAATATATGGCCGTAGTTGAAGTCTGAGAAATCTTTTGCCATACTGAGGCGGAATAACTGAGCTATCTAATTCAAATATGTCTGTTATTCCCGATTTAGAGCCGCCCACCAGCGGCCGAGCGGTAAAGTCGCTGAAAACTGGTAGTTCGGTCCGAGGTTCGAATCCTGCGAATGGGCTGGCTGTATGGGCGTTTTCGTGGTTTTCCCCATGTGTAACGTGTTTACGAGTCAGTTTCCCTTAGATAGACCTCCACGAAGGCATCCCACCCCTTAGGCACATAGCCTTAGTGTGCTTTGCCATAATTAAATAAACCCACCCAAACCAGTTTTCCTTAGAAAGTCCTATACGAAGGCATCCATTCCCTTAGGCAGACAACCCTGAAGGCTTTGCCGCAGTCGCATAAACCGATCAACCAATAATATTAAACAAATCGTGATGTTTTTTTGCCTTAAACTTAATTTTTAAAATATGGGCTTATGGAATTTGCCAGCTTTGCTAGCTATGTGACACAGTTTCTGTGGGAACACAGAATTTTTCTGAAAAATTTCTGAAGGGGACACCGAGGAGATTTTTTCTTTTCATAGTTAGCCGGCCCACCAGCGGCCGAGCGGTAAAGACACCGAACACTGGTAGTTCGGTCCGAGGTTCGAATCCCGCGAACGGGCTGGCTGCATGGGCTTTTTCGTGGTTTTCCCCATGTGTAACGTGTATACGAGACAGTTTCCCTTAGAAAGTCCTCCACGAAGGCATCCATCCCTTAAGGCAGATAGCCTTCGTGTGCTTTGCCATAATTAAATAAGCCAATTCAATCATAGATAGCCGCCGTTGTCGAGGTTTGCATAATGCCGAGTCTCTGCAATTACCTGATGTGTTTTTAAGCGAAAACAGATTGCTGTGTGCTTAGGAAGAACAGCGCAAAGAAATCGCAGAGAGATTTGAGGAATGTGTTTTATTTTTTAATGTATTACGTAATCCTTGTTGAATATTTAAAATTTTTATTTTAAACTGTTCAAGTACATTTTCTTTTCATACGTCAATAATGTCTGTCAGCTTACGATAAATATCGATAACGTCAGAATCCCTTTTAGAAAAGTTGCGAAAACCACCAGCTTGCTCCCTTTAAGTAACTTTTACTTTTCATATGTAAAACATCGCCAGATTTAGGCAAGGTGTTTGCGTTAATACGTAAGTACCGATTTGACGTACCGAGCATTCATTTCACCATTACTGTTCGACTGGCCATTGTTGGCTGTGCTTGGAATGCTTGCCGTCATACTTGTGTTAATAAATATGAACGATCATTTTCTTTGTCATCCATTAGTGCTTTATTGGTAGTATATCAATTCCTGGGTATCATACTGGCTTTTGAATCCCGCGAACGGGCTGGCTGCATGGGCATTTTCGTGGTTTTCCCCATGTGTAACATGTATACGAGCCAGTTTCCCTTTGAAAGTCCTCCATGAAGGCATCCCACCTCTTAGGCAGATAGCCCTAGTGTGCTTTGCCATAACTAAATAAGCCAAACCAAGCCATACTGGCTTCTGTTTTTCATAAAAGGTCTTGTCGCCAATTAAACGGCAATTCTTATCAAACAAACCATATAATTTTGCCAAGGTTAAAGCGATGTCGAGTTCGTGCAGTTCTTTAATGTTTCAAGTGAAAACGTGAGAGAACTGCACAAATTCGGCATCTGCGCAATAATATAATATTTAACATAATATAATTGTTATATTATTGCGCAGATATTCATGTGATGTAAATAGGCTATCACATTTGGCACTTTGGCGCTCCATTGGCGACTGACACTCCGTTAACAGAGAAACGTTAGTATTTCTTATTGTAAATGCATGAGGCCCACTAGTGGACAAGCAGATTGGCTCATTGCTAGTAGTTTTACCGTTAGGTTAATCAATTAAGGCAAAGCAACTCGAGGGCTCTCTGTCCTTGCCTTCGTGGAGGAAAACGGTCTCGTATCTACGTTACATATGAAGAAAACTACGAAAATGCCCATACAGCTAGCCCGTTCGTTTGGATTTGGAACCCGGGTTGAACTACGAGTGTTTAGCGACTTTACCGTTCGGCCACTGGGTAGTTCATCCGTGTTCAAATCTTAGCAACCGGGCTGGACTGTATGTGAGA